GTTGGCTAAATGTATCGTTCCACAGAGGCGAGCGCTGCCAGAGGCCTTCCAGCATGGCCAGAGCCTCTCCGTCTCGTGCTGGGCTGAGAGATTCGCGGGCCTTCGAAAGGCCAGCGGGCTGCCAATCAGAACTTCTGCAACTCAACGATGATAGACATCAGCATTCAAGCCGACTGGTTCTGACAGAAGGTATATAGGCCCTCCAAACCTTCAAAAAACATAACTTGGTTCATGAGCTATTTTTCGGCAGGACAAGGCTTCTGCCGGAGAGACCATGCAGTGTGTGGATGGATCTTGGCAACCTGGTCAGGGTGAACGGATGAAATGTGAGTGGGGGTTTCTTTGTGCTTCAAGCACATCCTGTTAATCACTCATGGTGAGTGGAGAGCTGCTGGGAGGGGTTGTGGCAGGCACGCATGTATGATGACGCTCCGAAGTTCGTACTTCTCCACGGTGGGGGTACGGGACGGTCAGGCAGTGCAGCAGGTGGCTACATTTCTCTGCATAGCATAGTTCTATAGTCAACTGTTCATCGGTCGATGCACGGCTGCCTCTTACGAAGATATTAAGGCAAGGTGCTGCCAGCAGCCTCCACTGCGAAGCCTGTCTACAGGTGGCAGCCAAAGGCCCGGCAAAAAGAATCTAGGCCTAGGCACTTGTCTAAGTTGCAGGTCCCGGGTCACGGGCTGCTGGGACATCCCAAGGCATGCTGTAAACGCCACAACACTTCCGTCTCTGTTCAGAGGCTGCACGTCAGTTCTCACAGTACGAGCCATCAAAGTGGAGCCACATTCGAGTCGATCAAACCGCCAGGATACATGGCCCTTGACGCTCGTGACAAGCAGGAGCTGTACTTCTTCAACCGAATGCAGTGCCTCGACCCAAAAAATCATGGGTATGGTTCTACCACCATGGGCGATTCTACCCTACACGCCTTAAAAGAGGCCCTTTATAGGGTTGATCATGGGGATTATGGGCCTAGTAGCCCATCCTGGTATGGTCTAGGGGCCAGCGTTTGTTGCAACGCAGTGCAATGCCACGAAAAAGGCCTCCGCAAGGCTTCGAATCCGGCGCACGAATTTTCAGCGTGCCAGAGCGCGTGTCGCAGAGCATGTCGAACATGTGTAGATATTGGAAATCAAGCAAATGGTAGCTGATCCCCCAAAGTGGATTGCTTCGGACTCCCCAACGGAAACACAATGTGTTGAATCAGACCGCAGCCTTCAGCGACACGTTTGGATTTTAAAGGATACGTTCTGACTTTCTTGGTAGATAAAGTATCCGATTTTTCAATATACACCACACTACCATGCATCTGTGGCTCTATGGGCTTTGTGGGCTGCTTTGCCTCTACAAGAGCAGCCTTAGTAGAACGGCCCCCCGCCCCCCTCCCCATGCCATGCAAGTGTATGAGGATGCGCATCTACTCCGAACTTGGCCTGGTTGACCTGGGGGCATCAACCTACTGCCTGCAGCAGGTCTGGGGTTGGGATCGAGGCTTCTTAAAGCTCCAAATGTGGCATCGTGTAATAGTGGATGCCTAAGACTTAAGCAGAAAAAGAAGCTTAAACCAAGAGCCTGTTGCAGTTCCGACTTCAATCCTGGCGGTGCTTTCAGCTGAGCGCCAGGCCGAAGGCAGTAGCGCTGTGACCCTCGACACCAAGGAGCCCATGCTTATGTGCGCGTGCCAGAAGCATTGTCGCTAGTAAGTGGGGAACGGCCCGATGTGGACATTCTCTCGCGTTCATCTTTGGCTGCGTTTGCCGCAAAGTATTTTTAGGTACCCTAAACCTAAACCCTAAACCCCTAACCCCTAAACCCTAATTCCACAGCTACCCAGCTGGAGGATGCCTGCAGCGCGTCCTTCATGGCCGGGATCACACCTGCAGCAGACTCGCAGCTGGGTGCCAGAGAGGGTCCCTCTTGAGCCTTGCACACCGAGGGACTCTTAGATTGCTTAAGTCAAGACTTATGCGACCCACAATCGAAGTACCTTCAACCCTTAACCCTGCCCTAAATGCTAAGCTATGCCTTGTTTGCTGGCTTCGCGTTGATGCGGGCCCTTGGCTGCTGCCCAGTTCTCCAAGAGCATGTGGGGTCCTTGTTCTAAGGAGACATACTTTATAAGGGGAAACAAAAAAGGACCCTAGTTTAGAGAACTACCCATGTGCCAAATTGCCCACCCCAAGGGTTCCAAGTCCCCCCTTTCGTAGGGCTGTTAAGTAATTCGACACTCAGGGCCTACGCAATAACTAGCACTTGAACATATACAGCTATGTCAGAATTGTGAAGGAAAGCTGGTCGGTGAAACATGTGCAACGAGGGTCTAACAGAAGATTTGCTTTGTACCTCGAGGCACGACCGCCTCTTTGAGTACCTGCCTGATGGTACGGAGACGTCGAAGCCCAATTGCCTTCAGCTGGATCCAAAAAAGGTGCCCGGACGAGAAGGATCCGAGCAAGACTTTACTTGGAGGTTCATGAATAGCAACTGTACTTATAACTCAATCATAACCACATTAGGGCACTCATATAAGGGGCTTATCAGTGGGTTGTAAGTGCAGTTCTTACTGGGTTCATAAGTACCATGAACCCCCAAGTAACGGAAGACGGTCAAAAGTGTGTTGCCAGAACCTTGCTCAGAGCCAGGTGGTGATTTTGTGTTAGGTGGGGAGTGTTCGGCTTCTCTGTCTAGGGAAGCATGGTCAATAGATTCTAGAAGGCCCATGCAAGTCTCCGATATGCCGCTAGGGAGCCGCAAACTCACAAGCAGAGAACTGGCACTGCTCATTCAGAGGGGGCCCTATATCTTCCAGTGCCCAAAGGCTTTACACTTGCATTTGCAAAGATGCGGTGTCTATTTGTATCCCTTTTAATCTTGAGCCTTTGTTGTCTCAGCACATCTGCTTAGGTGTCAAGCTCGTGAGCATATGGGGGTTTCCGAAAATAGGGGTACCCATTTTTGGGGGTCCCTTTTAAGGGGATTCCGGGATTCTAGTCTATTTGGGGTATAAAATGGGTACATACCCCTATTTTTGGGAAATACCCATATGCCCGCAATACTTAACCTGTTCAACAGTTCCCCTCGCAGGTCTTCTCGGTGAAGGGATGCAAGGCAACCGAGGTCCTCGGCTGAGATCATGCCTGCTGTTCGATCAGGTTCACTGTAGGCGCTAGATACAGAAAAATGTAAATCCTACGTACACAAGATCAAGAGTATATGATATATATATATATATACATATATATATATATGTATGCATATATATATATATATGCACATATATATATGCATACACATGTATAGACCTACTGTCCAAAGCATGGGCCATATGGTAAGCTTCTGAGAGGGATGTGTCCCAACCCAGCCCGCAATTACAATCGGAAAGTGCATGTCAACACGCGAATGAGGGGCTTGGTCGGACTTGGCGGTTAAACCTGAAGCCCCCGAACCCCTGTCTTGGCCCTAAGGGTTCATGTACCTCATATAGTTGGGCCCCAAAGTCCCTATATACCTATATAGGAGGTACGTTAAGGCCCAAGTATTCCCTATTTGGGTACATGGACCCTTAGGGTGGTGGAGGGAGAATGAGAAGGTAGTGACTCCGCCCCCACGAAAAGGTCGCACAGCAGATCGCCCCGTCGGAGCTGCCCATAAAGATGTGGGACCTTCACGTGCTTACAGATGCAAGGACTCCTTGGTTGAAGGCTTGTTTGGGATGTTCTGGGGATGTCTTGCATTTCTCATTCTCATCAGCGACAGACCTTTTTCCATGCTAGGCTGCATGTAAAAGAGCATCGCATGTGTTGTCGCCTTTCATCCGTTGCTGCCGCTGACAGAAGGGGTGAGGAAGCACGCTGAAGAGCCAAAGCGACTCTCAAGACATCATGGTGGAACCTCGTGACCGTGAAAAAGAGGCGTGCGGGAGGGGGGGTGGAGGGCCTGCGAAGATGCAAGGACGACAGACATTCACGGGGCGTACGCCTCCGAGTGCCTGGGTCGTTTTTTGAGGGTCTCGCACATTGTCGTGCCCATTGCCGATGTCTTCGTATTGCTTCAGACTCGGTGGATTGGAGTTCGAGTGCCCATTGAAGTTTCACACCGAAATCTGGAACCTTCAGACTCCACTCCCCCCCGACAACCCCACATGGAAGCCCATTGAACTTAGTAAACTTGATAAGTAGGGATATGCTGGGTTATGGGGGATTATTAAAAAAGAGCTTCCGCGTAGAGCGCTAGAAGCCGGAGACCGGCTTCAGGTGTGGTGCTCACGGGGCCCTCAACAACTTGGACTTCAAGCAGCTCTTTGCCTCTGGGACTTAGCTGACTTAGCTCAGCTTGGCACGCATGCCAGGGCAACCTGCGCCTGAATGTCTTGTGCAATTCCTGGGAAGCTTCCCCCCAGAAAGGCCCAAAAAGTTTAGGGACCCCAGATTCCACATGCTCGGGATCCCCGTAAGAAGCCACAGGCCCGCTCGTTCTAAAGACCCTACAATCCTTGCAGCGTGAGACCGGCTGCTTCTGGAGGCTGGCAACACCAAACGCGCCGGATCCTCAGCGACATGCCACAAGCTTCTTGCTCTTCCGTAAACCCTAAACTGCTTTAAATCGCTCGGCTATGGGAGAGGCTCGGCTTAGGCGGAGGCTGTATCACAATTTATTTTCGGTTTTCGCTTTAGTAGGAAAACTTTAGAGTCACGAAGTGCTCATCCCTGACGCTGTCTCATACTCAAGTGCATGACGAGTTAGGTCTGCCATGAAGTTAGAAGCTCTGCTGCTGACACTGGTTAGCCGTATCTTGGAAGTGGGGTTCAAGGAACCTTACGAAAAGTTCTCTTGGGCAAGGCAGACAGCTGTGACGAAGGAGTGCCATTGCATCTGTGATTGCCAGTGCAGTGACGCATTGAATCCGATTTTATTGCTGCTTGCACTGATTTGCCCTGCGATCAACCTTGTCTGCTTCTGCAGAAGACGCGGCTTTGTGACAGCAGAGCAGAGTCATGACAACCCACGACGGCGTGGCCGAGGACTTGTTACAATGCCTTCCAGGTGACCGAGTAGCTGTTTTCTACAGTGACGATACTTACTGGCATGAGCGAGTCTTGATCTGGAAGGCGAGTGACATTTCTTGGTATGTTTTGACTCCTGACATGGACCTTTATGAAGAGAGCTTTACATTGGTTGGCGACGACGGTCCTGTGAAGATGAAGGTGAAGGGGAAGCATTTTGAATATTATTCAAGACTGCGTGCGCCAGTGTATAGGTTTTCTTCTGGCTTGACCGAAGAGGAGATGAGGACCTACATCGAGAAGGCGCAAGACGAGCTGAACATGGAGGTCGTGCCTTTAGATGGCTGGAGGCCAAAAGAGGTGCGTGTGGGTCAGAGGGTGGTCCCAACCTCGGTTCTTCTTGGCAGGAGATTCGTGCCCAGGCGCATTACCAGGCCGCCCGGCGGAGCTGCGTCAAGAGGTGTGGTGGACCAGCCGGAAAGAGCCACAGAGGCTTCAGCAGATCTGCCTCTAGGGCTTTTGCCCCTCGAGCCAGCTCCTGCAGGCTACATGTGGGTGTGGTTTCCCCCCCTCAGACCCGGAGCTGTCGACATTCCTCGGGAGGTGGCGGTTGTCGAGGGTCAGGGGGTTCGAGCAGGAGAAGATTTGGGTCTCATCAAGCGGGGTGACGGCTGGCTTCCTTTGACCTTAGTCGCCATTGACCAGGCTTCGGAGATTTTTGGCTGCTACTTGGGGCGACAGAGGACCTCCGAGGCCTTACATGCCGATGAGGGCCTACCTTCGGCCAGGAATGCGAATGAGGAAGGCGCCGTATCTTCTACTGAGCCTTTGGATGCAAGGGTCCTTGGTGTGGATTACAACTCCGTGAACGAAAGACACAAACATTGGCGCGAGGTTGTCAATGAGTGCAAGCAGTATGAGTTCCCCGACTGGCCTCTTGAGGGACCGATGAGCGTGGGCCACCTTATTCGACATTTCCATAGCTTTGGAGGTGATCCCAAGAGATGGCTCCTTGAATGGATGCGTTCCAAGAACATCGCGGAGAACGACCGTGTGGCTCACGAGATGCGTTGTTTGGTGGACGTCATGTTCACAGCTGGTTGTTATGACCAGTTGAATCTATGCTCCCTCGCGAGCATAGAAGTGGTCGGGCGTCGAATGCAAGCTATCATCGACGCCTACACCTTGGGAGGTTCAGCCGGGCCTGACTGGCAAAACGCCAAGGTTATCGCCGGTTACCGCAGTGCAGATGATGCGGTGTCACCAAGCTTGCGATCGTGGGCAGCCAGGCGCACCAAAGAAGAAATTGACATGGCATCTTCTCGTGCTAAGATCCGTGAGCATCGCAAAGGCCTGCTGGTGACCGATGAGGCTGCAGGTGCGGTGGCAGACGGCGTGTTGCCGACAACCGGGGCAAAGGCCAAAGCCAAGGCGAAAGGCCGTGGCAAGGGGCTGACTGCCCCGGATGGTCAGTGAAGAGTGTGGCGAGGGATCGTGCCCGGTCGGTCCCTCTCATGGCCATCAATCCGGGGATGCACGTGCTGCTAAATCCCAGTTCTCCCGTGACATGTTCCCCCTTCCCGTCCCACCTGAGGTGCGCCGGGAAAAAACTTTGGGGAGACGGGTGGCGCAGCGGGTGGCCAGACATATCCAGCAGACAACCAAGGAGCGCGAGGCCTTGAAGGCTCTCAACTGGATGGCTGGCTACAAGGAAGAATTTAAGAATTCACAGTTTTCACCAGATGCTCTTCAGTCGGAGGTGATTGGGAGAGTTCGTTATCTTGCTGGGCTATGCCAAGACAAAGGTGAATTGGCAGAGATCCCTAAACCGGAGGCAGCCCTTAAGGCGTTGCTCCGTGGCCGGTCAGAATACTATTCTGACGAGCCGACTACGTTGGCGGCCTGCTCACTTGCGCGCATCTCGCTTCCTGAGTCTCTTCACGACGCACCGGCGGTGGAGAGTGTCTTGGATGACGAGGCCCGGCATTACCTGCAGAGCCCCGAGCATATGTTAAAACCAGGCTGCGAAACGGGCCTGGGGGAGTTTCAACCGTACTGGGATCCACTCTTGAGGAGGGACGCCAAGCTCTACAAGAAGTTCATCCAGAAGCTGAACCAAGCCGGGTACTTGGTGTTCACGCAGAACCCCAAAAGCTTCTGTGGAGTGTTTTTCGTCAGGAAGAGCGACGGTCGCAAAATTAGAATGATCATTGACGCCAGGGGTACCAACTCCATGTTTCGACCTCCCCCTGGCGTTGATTTACTTACTTCAGATGGTTTTTCGAGGATTGAGCTCAACATCCCAAGCCATTTCGTCCCAGGCAGTGCCGACTACGACGACTACCTTGACCGACACCGTATTAGCATAGGGCTCAGTGATGTAAAAGATTGTTTTCATCGGCTCCGGCAACCTAGGTGGCTTTGTGATTATTTTTGCTTGGATGGGGTGCCGGCTTCTTGGGTGGGGCTCGAGAACACATATTTGGACAACAAGTGGCCTCGATCGTGTACCCGGCCCCAGGCTCTTTACCAATGGGGTTCACTTGGGCCCTATACTTCGCGCAACGCGCAAGCGAGGTCCTCATGACCAAAGTACCATCCTTGCAAAAGTCCACCTTGGTCCATGACAGGTCCAGCGCCATCGTCTTTGGAGAGGGCCAGTCCGTGGAAAACGAGGCAGGCGAGCCGCGCCCTGTGCACCATTATGTCTACGTTGACAATCTAGGGGTCCTCAGCGTTAACCATGATACAGTGGAGACGGCCTTGCGAGAAGTAGAGGATGTCTTCGGTTCTCACAAGCTGATCCTGCATCCAGGCTTGGTGTCGAGCGGCGCTACGAAGGCACTGGGCTGTGCTCTCAGAGGAGACCTTCTGGCTAGTCGGGTCACGTCAGACAGGTATCACAAACTACGTCAAGCCATCCAAGGAGTACTTGAACGTAAGCGGGTTTCTGGACGCATTCTTGAAGTGCTGGTAGGCCATGCTACGTTTGTTGCCTTGATGAACCGCCACGTCCTCAGTGTCTTCAACACGGTTTACCGTTATATTAACGCCCACTACCACAAACCAGCGCCATTGTGGACCACAGTGAGAGAGGAGCTTTCTGTTTTCAGGGGGCTCATGATCTTCTTGCATGCGGACTGGGCACGACCTTGGAACACCTACGTGACTGCCACAGATTCTTCTTTGGAAGGTTTCGGGGTGGTTTCAAGTCATTGGCAGCAGCATGAGGTTGCCAGTGCCGGCCGAAATCTTGAGCGGGCCCGCTTCAGAAAGCAAGGGAGTCATTCAGCGCGCACCTCAGCGCTCACAGCAGCGGGTTTTGTTCATGATGAAGCTACAGATCAGTGGAAGGCCGGCTGGCTGGACAGCCCCAGTTACCTGGAGCACACAGGCTGGGCATTGGCTCAGGAGTTCAAGGAAATTCCTGGATATCTCTTGCAGGCTGATCGCTGGACACCCCGGCTTTGGGGAAAATGGCAGCACTCTGCTGGGATCCTGGAGCTCGAAGCACGGGCCTTGGTGAAGGGGCTCAAGCGTATTGCCATGAGCACTTTCGGGCATGATGTGCGGCAGCTCTTGCTCACAGACAACATGAGTGTTTGCCTCTCCTTTGACCGATCTCGCGCTCGCAGCTTCAGCCTCCTGGTGCAAATCCGGAAATTTGCTGCATATTGTTTGGCACGCAACATCTACTGTGTGGTTAGGTGGGTTCCATCCGAGCTCAACAGCGCGGACAAGCCAAGTAGGCTCCACTCAGAAGAAGCTAGCAAGGATCTCGCGCATGCCATCCCCCATGTCCGCTGGACCCCGCCGGGAAGCAGTTCTCAAGCCTCCAGTGGCAAAGAGTGTCAAGCCAAGGCCCAAGTCCAGGATGCTGGAGCGACCGCAGCCTTCAACTGCTTCGACGGCGAGGGCGTCGACCCTTGCAAAAACTGGTCCGGCCGAAGCACTGATCACACCGCGGAAAGCGGACACGTTCAGCCTGTTGACGGTGCCCCTGGAAAGCGAGAAAGTCAAAGCAAAGAAACGCAGCAGAGAGGAGAGTTCAAATGCCTCGACCAGTCCGAGCAGAAGTCCTGCGCGCAAAGCTGGGCAACGACGTCTGGTTCAGAGGAGAGCAAGGCGCCGAGCGAAAGCCATGGTGGATCACCACTTGGACGGAGTGTCGCATCTGGAACAGCAAGCTGTTGGAGAAGCGACCTCCAAGCAGTACCAGAAGGAGCTTCAGTCCTTCCTCAGCTTTGCAAAGCCCCGGGGATTGGTGATGACCAATGCCAAGATAGTGGACGGGCTTCTCGTGGACTACATGAACCGGATGTATCTGGACGGCCATCAGAGCTACCGACGCCGAGCCGACAGGTTGATGGCTGCCATTCTCCACCGCTTCCCACAATTTGGCCGGTTGGGGGACCAGAAATTACCGCGGGCCTGGCGAGCGCTCAAGGGCTACAGACGGCTGACGCCGGGGAAGTCCCGGTTGGCCTACCCCTTAGCCTTGTGGGCAGCCTTTGCGGTGGAGCTGAAGCGCTTAGGATGCCTGAGGATGGCTCTTTTCATGCTCCTTGCTGTGAGCACCTACGCCAGGCCGTCGGAGCTCCTTCGGGCAAAAGTGGTCAGTCTGGTGCGGCCCGCGCGAGGGATCACGAGCAGCTGGTCGTTACTGCTGGCGCCGGAGGAGGAGGAGATAGCCACGAAAACGGGGGATTACGATGTCGCGATCCCTCTGGACAGCCCGTGGTTGAAAGGCTGGAGCCACGCGTTATTCGACTGTCTGAAGCAATCCCACCCAACAGCACCCCTCTGGGATTTCAACTACCAAGAGTACCAGCTCATGATGAAGCAAATCTCGGACATGTTTGGTGTGGATGTGACGCCGTATCAGACCCGGCACTCGGGTCCCTCCATCGACCGCGCTCGGCAATACCGCAGCCTCTTGGAGGTGCAGAAGCGCGGGCAGTGGAAAGCGCACAAAAGCGTGGCGCGCTACGAAAAGAGCGCCAGGCTGGCCAGCACATGGGAGTCCTTACCAGAAAGTTTCAAGACCCACGCCACGCTCTGCGAGCAAGACCTTGGGGCAATTCTTTTGGGGCGAAAACCAGCCCCCCTTTTGCCCACAATCGCAGGCCCGGGCAGTATGTGATGGATCTTTTCTCCGGCCAAGGAGGAGTCGGTCGTGCAGTGCGACATTTTGGCTTCAACGCCAAATTTTGGGATATCCGTTTTGGGGCAGATCATGATTTGACCAACAAGGGTGTGCTTCAGAAAATCCTTCGTGAGATCCGGCAAGGTCGAGTGTTAGCATGCATGCTTGCTCCAGTTTGCGCCAGCTTCGGACGGGGTTGTGACCGCACAAAGGCGATCAGGACACGCGCAGAACCCTGGGGCATCAGTGCAAACAAGCTCACCGCTGCCGAACGTGACAGCATCCTCCTAGGCAATCGTTGCTTTGTCTCATGTTTCCGCATCATGCGCGAGCTAGACAAGTTCAAGATACCTTACATCCTTGAGAATCCTGCATACTCCAAGGCGTGGTGGCTCCCAGCACTTCAGCGGCACCAGTCCCGGCCTTGGGTTCGCTTCGTGCAGGGTGACTTTTGCCAGTTTGGTTCCTCTTGGCAGAAAACCACGACATTTCTGTGTGCGCATATTCCTGAAGATGATTTGCACCGGCTGGCGTGCACCTGCCAGGGGCCACCAGGAATCTGCAGTCGCACCCTGAAGCCGCACGTCCTTCTTTCAGGAAATTGGCGAGGAAGGCCGCGCGCCCAATGGGCGGAAATATACCCCAACAAGCTTAGCACCGCGTTGGCATACGCGTTAACTGCTGCCCACCACATCCCTCCCTATTCGTGAACTTCGCCTTTGGGAAGATTTGGGGCGAGAGTGAGTTCTGATCTTTGAGCTTCCAGTGCTTTCTTCAAGTACAAGCTCATTCTGTGCAGTTGGCTCCAACATGCTGTGACGATGCTAACGCTTTCGAGAAATTTGACCGCAAAAAGAGCTCCGAGTGACGGCAATCTGATTGAGCGTGCTCGGTAAGATTAGAGTCACGAAGTGCTCATCCCTGACGCTGTCTCATACTCAAGTGCACCCGCCCACCCGCCCAAGGTGGGGGCGAGAGTGAGTTCTGATCTTTGAGCTTCCGGTGCTTTCTTCAAGTACAAGCTCATTCTGTGCAGTTGGCTCCAACATGCTGTGACGATGCTAACGCTTTCGAGAAATTTGACCGCAAAAAGAGCTCCGAGTGACGGCAATCAAACTTTGCTTCCTCCAGATGTTGGAGGAAAACCTCTGCTTACCCTAGATTTTCCGATGTCCTCTAGATGTAGGAGGAAAACCTCCGTTTCCCCTGGATTTTCCGAGGACACCTAAGGAAGGAAGGAAGGAAGGAAGGAAGGAAGGAAGGAAGGATTGAAGGAAGGATTGAAGGAAGGAAGGAAGGGAGGCAGCAAGGAATCAAAGGAAGGAGCAGCAAAGAATTAGGGAAAGTAAGGACGGAAAACAAGAAGGAATTATGTAACACAATTACTCATGCTGTGAACGTCTTAAATTTCATATGACCTCCGAAGAAACCTTCCGAAAGCCTTCGAACTTCGAAGCCAGAACCCCAAGTTCCTGTGAAATCCCACCGAATCCTGTGAATGCCATGCCATCCTTTGAAGTAGCTTGTGAGGTTCTATGAGACTCATTTCACACCTCTTGAATCATGTGACATTCCATGGCTATCCTCCGAATTCTATGGCATGGAAGTCATCTTTCGTCTGAAGCCGAACCGTTGTTGCACCTTCTGAAATCCTACGATATTTTGAAATCAGCTGAAATACTCCTATGACACCCTCTGAAACTCCTCCGGAACCTGAGTCATCTTGTGAAATGCGGCGGCTCATGTAAGACTGCCCCTGCAGCGTCAAATCTCCCATAGGCTTGCGAAGGACGATTCCCTGGCCGGTTTGTGGTTTAGAATTGGGGTGTGGACCCTATATAAGCGCTAAGAATTTGTGCCACAACTCGTCTAAGTTTTGAACCATGGGCCCTTAGTACGCTCCCTTACCCTTTTAGGGATCCGACGTCTGGGATCAAGGGCCCTGGCTTCGAACCTTATAGGAATCTGAACCCTGAGGGAATGTTCAAGCCGGCGCCGCAGTGAGCCCTAGAAGGAGCCATGCAAGAAGGTGTTGGCACCGAAAGCGGTGCGGCCTGGGGTGTTCGTGAGGGGGCATGTCAGCATAAGAAGGAAATGACCGGTTTCCTGAGAGTCAGGTGGAAACTTTCTTCTTTTCGCTGCCACTAGCTGCCCCTTTGAGACGCAGCAACCCTATAACCCTGTAATCCTATAAACCCCATAACCCTATAACTCTATAAACCCTGTAAACACTATACACCCTATACACCCAGTAAACCCTGTACATCCTGTAAACCCTAAACCCTAAAAACCCTCAACCCCAAGGTCAGGACGAGCTGCAAGTTTGCCCCTCTCCTCTCCTTCGGGAAGCCCATGGACTCGGGAATCTCGCGGGACAAGAACAGCGACAAGTGGATGCTCCCCCGAGATTGTCGGGTTTTGGGTTTTGGGTTTTGGGTTTAGGGTTTAGGGATGTGGTGAGGGCGGGGGGGGGGGGGGGGCTTGCATTTGCAAGGAATGTAGGAGCCAAGTGGGCCTGGAATTCAGCGGGATTTTGGAAACATGAGCCTTGAAGGAACGACTGGTGGCACATTCTGGCTGAGCATCCCATTGAGTGTGAGACTGGCCAGGCCCATGCCATTGGGGGTTTACGATATTAGAGGTACTTTCTTGGGGTCCTCTTTATAAAGGGATTCTACTATTTGGGGGGCTGTATTAGGAGTCCCTTGTTATCGTAAATCCCCATTTTGCTGCTCCTACAGTTTAAAGTGTGGGGTATTGAGCTTAGTTTACTACAGGAGCAACAAACACCAACAAAATGATTTCCTTTATCCTCCTTGGAAAGACAGTACATAAACTGCCCAAACATCTATTTTCGTCGAATAGGCCCCCAGATGAGATAGTTCAACAGAGTCTTATGCGAAATGAGCCACAAGTTCTAGAGGCAAGGAGCCAGGCACAGTGCAAGTTCAGATCATCTTCTCCAGAGCCCAATACCCCTTGCTGAAGGAATATACCATAATCTAAATATGGGGATCCTGCTTATGGTTTGAGGTATATTCCTTCAGTAAGTGGGCTCTCTGCGTAAGGGTCTAGTTGGTAACCATCTTGCTCATTCTGTGGTTTGGTCGGGTGGGATGGCCTTGTGAATGCAGTCTTGCCCAACTCTGGCAGCGATGAGCACCAGGGGATGTACAATGTACCATAATGAACCTCACTCAGTTGATAGCAGCCTCTCAGCTCGAGCCAAAGAATCTTAGTACATACGCTGGAGCTTGCCCCTTAGGACTTGCCTACGAAAGGTAGCTGATGCTAGCTAAACCCCTTGCAAATAGACAAGCACGTACGCATCCTTTTGTTTTCACTTTTGTCGGAGATCCGCTTCGGACCACACTCATCGTCTTACATGAACTTTTCGAGCCAGTGCTTACACTGTGCTTTGCGCATTAATTCATGCGCATTGCAGCACTGATATTCTCAAAACGTCTGGTATGCTGCTCGATATCCCCAAAACGCCACAGGTTTTTGCAGCCGAATAGCTTGATTAAGGCCTCCAGAAAGCGGATCACATGACGCACTTGCGAACGGCACACGATCCAAATCCAAGCCGTCTTGTCGATAAGATGACGCCTGCCATGCATGCACCTGCCATGAGCACGCAAAAACCGCCATGTTGATTCATTCTTGCAACCGCCACTCGGAAGATGCCATGTTGGCAAGCCCGCACCTGCTTCTTCAAGACCCCTTTGTGACATAGTTTGTGTGGGCAGTCGACAACCGTGGATGACCATTGCGATTGTATCACCACTATCTTCGTCTCAGTCTCGGTCTCAGTCTCAGTCTCAGTCTTCTCCTTTTTGTAGGCGGTGCACTTCAGAGGAACTTGCATGGCCCCGACCAGGCCCTGACGGGAATGAAATTGGATGTGGCGAAGAAGAGTGCCTGGGCTCTGGCAAGCTGGTGTAGGTTGTTGCTGTTTGGGGCGGGAGGTGGAGGCTTGCGAACTAAGTGGTTGGGAGCTTTGTGTTTCAGATTTCTTGGTTGTCGTCTTCAGTTTCTGGGTCGTCCCTTCACCCCCCCCCCCCCCTGATGAAGCGTCTGCTCGTTCTGTGTAGAGGACTCCTGAACCAGCACCGTCGAACGTAATCTGGGCATCTCCCAAAACAGGGGTCAAGTAGAATATAAATCCCCTTAAAGGGGCCCCCGACAAGGGTACCACTGTTTTCGGAAGCCCCCATTTGTCCCCACCCTCGGTGTGGGGTTGTTAGGTTTTAAAGTCGAGTCCCTAAACCCTAAACCTAAACCCTAAACCCTAAACCCTAAACCCTAAACCCTAAACCCTAAACCCTAAACCCTAAACCCTAAACCCTAAACCCTAAACCCTAAACCCTTCCTGCAGAGAGTCCCTGAGGCAACCATGATAGGATCATGCGAAGTGGGCGAAGTGGGCATTTCCCAGAATAGGGTACCCTTTTTGACCCCTAAATTGAATAGCATCCCCTTAGAGGGACCCCCAAAAGGGTGCCCCTGTGATCGGAAACCCCAAGTGTCCTGAATTCCCTTCCGACAGTGGTGAGCCTTTTGGGGGGTGGGGATGATCAAGACAGTAGACAGATAGTTCACTGAACTTTGTTTTGTTGGGCGAGGAAGGCAGAATGCCGTACCGCTGAAAGAACAAGCTGCGGTGTGCGGATGGACGTAGATCAGATCCATGCCTGTCTCCTTCGACGATCGGCCCATCATAGGTTTGGTGCCGACTAGACAATTTTGGTTTGTTCGGCTGGGTACCAGCTAGGGCTAGTACAAGGTCTTGCAGGTCCTAAGAAAGCCATCTCGCCACTGTTCTGTGCATGTGCTTCCGCTGCAGTTCTCGCGCGCACTGTTGTCAGGCTACCTCTACGAGTGCAGCTACATCGGTGGCTCCCCGATCGCATTGGAGAGAGCAGTTGGTGGTTCACTGCCGCTCTTCAAACATGATTTCCCCCGACCTTGGATATTCCTCAAACAAAACAGTGCCCCAAAGATCCCCTAAACCCTAAACCCGAAACCCTAAACCCTAAACCCTAGACTCCCCCAACAAAAAGAAGTGAGGCTTGGGATCCTGCTTCGAGTACTTCAGCGGACAGTTCGAGGCCAGTCGCTGCGGGGCGAGCTGGTTGCGACCTCGGTCGTTGCAGGGGTCTAATATGTGGGGGTTTAAGGGTTTAAGGGTTTAGGGGTCTAGGGCTTAGTGTTTAGGGTTTTTGGATATAGGGGACGGAATAAGTGCTAATAGTATTCCCTTACGGTTCCTGTATGGTTGTACTAGAATAACCCCCCGCAAAACCCTACTCTAATTATTAAGGCCCCCATATTCGTGTTGAGGAGTCGGCTTGCGGCAGTGTTGCCCGTGTCTTTTCGCAATGATTAGGTTACTGTTCGTTATGGTAGGAATTTTATGCCATGAGTTTGCAAAATATGTTGTTTTGCAAGTGCACCTGCTGTCGCCGTCCTGCTGGACGGCTCGCTGTTCTTCAGATTTCAAGGAGGGGCTGTCATGCTGAGACCGTGGCAGGTGCCATCCTTCTCGAACAACAAGAACAGCTGGAAGCCAGCACTGAGCAAGCTCGTCGTTTCCTGTGGCCACTTGACTGTCAGCTCAGGCTGCAAGCAGGAGACTGTCGCGAAAGCTCGCTCTTTAGCAGCTCCTACATGCGGTATTATACCCTATAACCCCTTAAAGAGGCCCTTTATAGGGTTGGTTAGGGGGATGATAAGGCCTAATAGCCCATGCTGGCTTGCTTCTGTGTTCTTGTTTCGCAACCTTGTCAGTGGGTCATCACGGCGGTTTGCATCGCCCTTACCTCGGGATTTCACCCGCCCTCCCAGCCCACCCTCCCTACTAGCCTGCTGCCAGAACCTTGCTTTCGTGGTGGGCGCAGGTTGTTCCTATTGACATAAACATGTAGAGTCCAGGTGTGGTGACAAATCAAACCAAAAACGTCAGTTCTGGGAAAACCTTTCACAACATTTCACTACCAACTGCCCTTCGAGATCCCCTCTATAACACCCCCTGCTAGTTTCACAGGGCTCGAAAAAAGCGCTCCACGTGCCTCCGAAAGTCACCTCCAGGCGAAAACTCCGTTATAGCATCGCTCCACTTCGAGTTCTCTGAGGGCGGCAGGCCACGGCCAGCGCAGTGCCAGCGCACCTCTGTCTTTGAACAGATCTAGCCAGAACTCGCCAAGCCCAGCCGAGTTTCAACTGAAGCCTGGCAGGTGGGCCCGCGTGCGCTATTTCTGCTGCAAGGCAGGTGGCTCGCCGACCGTGGTGGTCCCCTGGACACTACTTGACATCTCGTCATGGTAGTGGCAGAGGCGGTTGCGGAGCATGTATAGTGGCAGTTGGCTTTGGAGAGCTTAAGTCTTTGTTGGTACGCTGGCATGTCCGTGATGATGACGAAGCATCATCTTGCCCAGTACTGCCAGAATTTTGGCCGCTGTGGTTTTGTGCTAACCATTCGCTTGTAGCCAAGGAACCTCTTGGCTACCTGGAGCCTGGAGGACTGTGGAGACCCTGTAAAATATAGTATGAAATCACTATTAGCCATATTCATAATAATAGTATGATAGGATGTCAAGAGGTTCGTGGTTTGGGGTTGTTTAGGGGAAAGCTGGTCCTTCCCGGACTTCCTTGGGCCATCTAATCAAAAAAATGCCAAAGTCGCACCTGAAAGGTTCAGACTGCAGATACAACCTGTACCTGAGTCTTGCCTTGTTGAACTCATTCATATACGGTAACGATGGCTGGAGCAGAGTAATTCCGACGATTCATCGTGATCTTATTCGTTTGTTAATGCTATCGGTTCCTGCCGCCCTTAGTCCTAGCCTGGCCTGCGAAGGCAAGGACGGAAAGTATTGCCCAACGTCGCGGGACTCGTCTGGTCGGCCTGCTCCTCGCATGAAAGTGGAGCTTTGTTGTGTCAGCATCGTTCTGAGACAGCACGGCTGCATCCTTTCAACCACCGGAGCCCCACCTTTCTCGCATAAAAACCCTCAGCCATCCTGTCATGTTTTCAAAGCAAAGAGTGTTCGACCACAGTGGTCTCCAGGTCTATGAAAGTGCGGATGGAACAAGCCTTTCCTTTGACAGTGACGCCGGCAAGTGGTGCATCGGCAAGGAGTGCAGTGGCGTGAACGGTGCCGCGACACCCTTGTTGCCTGCTTGCATCAGGTTTGCAGGTTGAAACATACTGCTTTCTTTTCGTCTGAAGATTTCTGGCCAGGCGAGGACACGAAGATGGGAATGCGCGAAACGGTGTACAGGTATGTCATGGTGCGTTTTACGACAATATGATCTTTGAGCCTGCTCACATCAGAGTACAGGCAGGACAGCTCTTTACCTACAGATTCCCTCCCGTCCCTTCCCAGAACATTACGCATTGCAACACTCTAGAACTACCCAGAAACAGGTGCTGAAACCACTGCCGGTGTTCCCGGAGCAAGTTGCCCGGTCACCAGATGTCCAGCAGGATGCAGGCAGCGCATATGCGGAAGCCATGATTTCCATAGTTTCTGCAGGCACCTGAGTGGCAAGTCCTTCGAGGTGGTGGACATCAGCGACTTCGACGGAGACGCTGAGCAAAAGGGCAATGTTTATATAGACATGTTTGTATGTATTTATTTACTTGTCTGTTTCAATTTATTTGTTTGTTGCCAGATGTTAGAGAAAAAACTTTCATGGCTGCAGATAGTTTCTGACCACAGGGATGCCTCGGCAAGTGCCAGTCTGCATGTTGCTATCAACACGTTGGACGCAGAGTGTTCCAGGTGGTCCTTCATGTGGAGTACTCTTAAAGCAGGAAGTGTGGCGAAAGCTCGATTCACCACACAATTGCGGATCCATTTGCTTCTCTCCGGAAAAGCTTGCCACACATGCATCAATGTGCCACTGAGGCGTTTGAGTCCATGGGCATTCCCAAGTTAGATGAGTCTGGGAAGAAGAGCCTCTTGGGCAGAGCTCAGATGATCTTTGCTGTTGGCGTTGGAAGGGCCGGTGTCTTGCGTCTGATCCAGAAACCGAATGGCACCTCAATCGTTGCCCCAGCTGGGTGGGCTACCACAGGGCTCTTTTGGTGGTTATGATGGTCATATTCGACGGTTGTATCTTCCAAGAGCACACAAGACTCTTGAAAATGAGCCATTCCTTTGCAGAGGCTCCAGCTGTTGATTGTGACCTATCCAGAAGGCACAGTCGCCCAAAGCCTGCGAAAAGCCCCAATCTGCCTAATTGAACCAGGGATTAGGGTTATGGGTGTAGGGTTTAGGGTCACGAAACCCTAAAGTCTCTTGGTACACTTCTGGTACCCCTAAACCTTAAACCCTAAACCCTCAACCCTAAACCCTAAGCCTTAAGCCCTACGCCCCTAAACCCTCAACAGACAATTGGTGGAGTCGAGGTGCGAAAGCACTCCTCGCATCGCTCAAGAAGCCCAAGAAGCCAAAGCTGCCGAAGATCCCAGAGCCGCTTTGAGCCACCTAGAGCGCGACGGCCGGCTCTGCCGTGGGTATATACAATACTATATGTATATGCATATGTACACAGTCATATAATGTCTTAGAATGCATACATATATATATATATATATATATCTTTTTATATCCTCTACCTATATATATATATATATATTTATGTGTGTGTGTATAGGTTCTGGTTATATTCACTACATACATCTATCCATCTATCTGTATATTCCTTTACATAACGCATATTTGTCGTATATCATTTATACAACAGATCGTAGAACACATATAGTCGAGAAATGTTATATAGATAGATATATATATACATATATATAGAGATGTATATATATATATACACATACACATGTAATGCCAGAGCATGCTTCTGACATGTTCATGGGTTGAACCGAGGCTGGAAAGCTTCAAAGCAGAGATGCCCACCTACTCTTCTGAGTGCTCCTTGGCCTCCTTCCGGAAACAAGGGTTTAGGGTTTAGGGTTTAGGGTTTAGGGCTTAAGGTTTAGGGTTTAGGGTTTAGGGTTTAGGGTTTAGGGTTTAGGGTTTAGGGTTTAGGGTTTAGGGTTTAGGGCACAAGGTTTGTGTGGCGCTCTTTGAATCGAAGCTCTGCAAGGGTCCCGAGCAGCCATGAACAACCCAGGCTTGAACTACAAGGATCTTTGGACCAAGCCGCTTGGCTGCAGACTGGGAATCCCGCGCGGATCCCGGATAAGGACGTCGAATAGAAATCGGTCAACGTCAGCATATTGTTGACCTTTCCATTCTTTCTGAACAGGCAGCCAAATGAATTGTCAGCTGCACGCGGTACTGTAAGCTGCCAAATCGCGGTCGCGGCTTTTTTGTCGCATTGATACAGGATGCGTCTCACGTCCTTCTATTGGTACGGTACTGATGCTTGTTGTTGGGCTCCTACTGCTGCAATGGTAGCAACCTGCACAGCCTTCTTCGCTTTGACCCTTCGAAGTCCGCTCGAATGTGCTTTGGGCAGAGAGTCCGTTCTGGTCCTTGTTCTGAATCACTCCGACAAAGCAGCCATGTTACGCTGGGTTCCGCAGGGTCTTTGCTGCTTGTTGCAGCTGCCCCCAACATTCCTGCTACCTTGAGTCGCTGGCTGCATGTATATGCTTTCACTTCACACCGATGCACACGCACGCACGTGGAGACGCACACCCTAGGCCCTCACCTTGAGTCATTGACTCTGAAAGTTCCCTAAAGCCTAACCCGCCATCCTGACTACAGACAGAAATCCCAACCCTCAGTGAGCTAGCCCTAAATTTTGAACCTTCCATGAACAACCCCAGAATCCCTTTTCCGCTACATGAGCCGACGCTGCAGAGATTTTGGCAGGGAAGTGCCGTAGATGATGTCCCTTACAGCAAGTACTGGAAACGTCGTAGACTGCTGCCTCAGCACTTCGTTCCGCTGTTTCCAGGGCCTGTGCTCTTGCTGTTGAAAATTCTCAGGATCACGGAAACCTTCAAGAACAGCGAAGGTGAGCAAGTGACTGCCCCTCGCAAGCATATTTATGGCAGAGGTTGTGTGAGGCGTCAAAGCATTTTGCTTTGAAAAAGCGCTTGCCTCCACACAGGTGGGCAGCAAAATCATGAGCACCAGTGTGACAAGATTCAGTGTGATAAGCTGCTTTTCCCCAGCACACGAGTCACAACGTGGTGCCGCCCACCTGCACAGTCCCTGCTTTGCCGTGCTGTGACAATCACACAGAGTACCTCATAGGCACACGCAAGTAGGTTGTTGTTCTGCCTAAACCCTAAACCCTAAACTCTAAACCCTGGAAGGGTGTTCGTAACTCTTTCTGCGCGTGCCAAGGAAGAGTCCCCGATTGAGGCAGATCCCAGCACTGCGGAGAAGGAAATGCAGGACTACCACCCGTGCGCCGCTTGGCCAGTGGCTGAGGTTAACCCTTAAGGGTTTAGGGTTTAGGGTAGTTTAGGGTTTAGGGTTTAGGGTTTAGGGTTGGGCTGCATGGGGCTGCTAGGAATTCGTGTAAGAGTTGGCTCGCAAATTGAAGCAGCATGCACACTGTGCCCCATACGTCAATCAGTGGACAGGTAAACCCAGTGCCTATGGCGAGAGGGAAATTTTTGCTTGCGATGTTCAGCACCTTATCCACTGGGCCCAAAACGGAGGTCACTGAAATTTGTATATCTGATGTTTTGGAGTTCCGTACAATGGGTCAGCCATTCTTTAAGGCTCTTCTTTGCATGGGTTCCTGTTAAGAGTGGGCCCAGGAGATTGCCCGACATGTCGGTGGAACCTTCGGCAAGCTTGGCAAGGGAGATGGCTCCAACACTCCGGAGACGCTTGTCGCAACGCTTTATGGCAAATGTCTGATCATGTAATGGCGCAGCAAGCACGCTCTTTTTGCTGCTGGGAGGGTGCACTGAAATGCAAAAGTGCGTGTTTGAGTCTTCTCCTGAGCAAGGGCTGTTTGCTGGGAGTGGTAGTGTAGGGGCAACTTCCACATTATAGCCAGTGGCGGCAGCTGACCTGGTGAATTCTGTACCTCCTCACGCTAGATTGTCACAGGCACTTGTGCAAGGAGCTGTTGAACTCGCAAGCTGAAGAGCTTATTTGAAAGGTTGCAAACCTCAAATTTGTGCTATGTCGCAGTGTGGAGGACACCCAAGCCAGCTCTATCCAAACTGTTCTTGTTGATGGTAGATTGGGGTTCCAACACAAGCTGAGCTGCCGCCGCAGTCAAAGACAAATCATGCACCAGGAACATGCTCTATGACGACTGGGAGTTGTGCGGCGAGGGAGATCGTGAGAGAGACCTCCTTGTAGCGCGACGCAGCCTTGCAGGACAGAGCGTCTGTGCAAGATGCGATTGACATTGGGGGCGCATGTCCTGAAGCAACGGCGGCCCATCATTCTGCAAAGCTTGCCACACCGAAGACAGACCTGGGACTTTATGTACCTACAGTTTAGTAGTAACTACCCTTAAATTTCGTAGGTCAAACCCATAAACAGTAGGTAAAGAGGGTCCCAGTAAACCCTAAACCCTAAACCGGAAGTCCGAAGCTTCGAATAGCCAGTAGTTCCGCCAGGAGCCAGAGTCGAACATGCGGCCAACATCGCAAAAAGCGCGACCAGGTGGCAGGAAATTCTTCGTGCACCCTCTCCATTCTTTGGGACTCGGGTGGAGATGGAGGGGTGGGCTAGGGCTTAGGGTTTAGGGTTTAGGGTTTAGGGTTTCGGGTTTCGGGTTTATCTCCTGTTACGGATAGTGCGTGAGCAATGGGGGCATCACTGCACCAATGATAGCGTTGACGCCACGCGACCCGCCTCGGCCGGGGCCTGCCCAGCGGCGAGGCAACCCAAACCGGAGATGGTGGGGTTAGTGCATGTTCGAGGTGGGGTACCTGTTTTATGCTACCCAGACATCTACGGCCCGAGGCCTCGGCGGAAATTTGGGATCCAAAATTCTTAAGTATTCTCGTGCAAGCTTCCTGGACACGGTGTTCAGAGTCCTGAGCACACTTGAACACTTGACCCGAAACCTGAGGTGGCTAACTGGGCTTGTGAGTTCGCACCCGAAGTGGAGATTGCACCTTTTGGCGCTGGCATTGAGATCGGGAACAGCGACATCTGTGGCGATGCTGTGGACCGCCAGGGATGTAAGGGTTTAGGCTTGCGGGTGCCGTCTGTCCATGCA